TCCATACTAAAATGGTTTCAGGGAAAAGAGCTAACTTTTCTCAAAATGAATGAAGATGTGGAACTTCACTTTGGCAATACTCACCATAGTGATAGGGATTGGCTACAGTGAGGGGGTGGGGGGCAGAGATGCTATTTGCCCTCCTGTAAGTCTTGTCTAGCAAGCATTAACAGAGGCGTAGGCAAAAACAGATATAAGAAAGACTAACTTGTTTATCTAGGTTATAAATTGATCCAAAATTTGAGGAGGATGTTTTAAAATAATAAATGATCTATTTATGCCTTAACATACAGTAGACACTTATTAGTTTGCTTGTTGTTTTACTCTAATGATTCCACTATTATCTTCTCTACTCCTTTATTATTAATTTCAGAGACTTTACTGCCTCTTCACAAAGGGGAATGGGGAAGAATTCCTCTTAAACTTTACTTTTAAAAGGATCAGGGTCATAAGAAAAGAACTAAACAGTGCCATTTGCAGCAACATAGATGGACCTAGAGATTATCTACTGAAGGAAGGAAATCAGAGAAAGACAAATATCATACGATATTACTTACAGGGAAAGTGAAAGTTGCTCTGTTGTGACCGACTCTTTTCGACCCCATGGACTGTAGCCTGCCAGGCTCTTCTGTCCATGGAATTCTCCTGGCAAGAATGCTGGAGTGGGTAGTGTATCCCTTCTCTCGGGGATCTTCCCAACCCAGGAATCGAACCAGGGTCTCCTGAATTGCAGGCGGACTCTTTACCACCTGAGCTATCAAAGAAGTGCTTCACTTATATGTGAACTCTAAAAAAAATGTACAAATGCACTTATTTATAAAATAGAAATAGAGTCACAGACGTAGAACAAGCTTATGGTTGCCAGGGGGAAAGTAGGGAGGGGGGATGAACCGGGAGATTGGGAATGACACATACACAGTACCGTATTTAAAATAGGAACAAGTAAGGACCTGCTGTGTAGCACAGGGAACTCCACTCAGCACTCTAATTGCCTATATGGGAAAAGAATCTAAAAAAGAGTGGAGATATACATCTATATATCTATATGTATAATTGATTCACTTTCTGTATAGCAGAAACTAATACAATATTGTAAATAAACTATACTCCAATAAAAATTGGAAAAAAAAAGGACCAGGCTCTGCTCTAGACTATATATGGTTATAAGCAGTGAGGTTAAAATAGTTACAGAATGAGTTACGGGCTCAAACAAGGATCAAAAAGAAATTTTCTAACTTTATGAATGATATTCTTATAAAACATTTCATAGACATTCTCAAAACATAAATTAACTTTTAATTACATACATGAATGGAGAGGGATAGGTGGTATTAATAATTTAAAATAGCTAATTAAAATAATTTATATTTAGCTTTGTAAAGCCTTTTAATTCCCTCCACAGTTTTTCTTTTCTAATTATGTTTCTCCTAAACTAATCATAAATTTAATTTTCTCTTCTTGAATGCAGAGTAACTGACTGTGGAAAGAGATGGTCTCGCATTTTGATGGGTGGAGGAGAAAAACTGGTGTAGGACTAAAATTTGAATTTGGATAACTCCTATTTAAATATTGACAGGTTGACTGTATTCGAAGGTCATCAGTGTTTTTTTAAGAATTTTTTAAAAATGTGGACCATTTTAAAAGTCTTTATTGAATTTGTTACAACATTGCTTCTGTTGTTTTATGTTTTGGTCTTTTGGTCATGAGGCATGTGACATCTTAGCTCCCCAACCAGGGGTTGAACCTACCCTCCCTGCACTTGAAGGTGAAGTCCCAACCACTGTAAAAAGACCACCAGGGAAGACTAGGTCATCAGTGGTTTTGATCCAAGATTAATATTCACTATAACACAGCCCCTTGCCCCAGTTGCTTCTCTCCGCATTTCTTCCCTGGTCAGATAGAACCCTCTCTCAGTTCAGAGGTGAGGGCGGTGCTTGTCTTATTCAAGTTTTACAGCTGTTCCTGTGCTGGTGGGGGGTGGTGGTAGTGGGATGAATGTTGGGGAGGCAACAGCAGCATTAAGCTTTAAGAAAAATAGCTTTAAGACATTATGGTGGATATAAAATTTTTTAGATGTTGGTCTATAAAGAGATAAAAGACAGATGCTGTGGTGTGGTTGAAAACTTTTGGGTTGGTTCCAGTTCTGCCTATTGGTGTCCATTGATCTTTTGGAGACTTAGTGTCTTAGTTGAGTGAAGAAAGGGTAATACTACTTGCCTTACATACTCCCTGGGGTTGCCATGAAGATTAAATCAGACAATATATGTGTAAGCACTTTGAAATTTATAAAGTATTATACAAATGAAAGATGCTGTCTGTTGCTTTAGCACTCAGAATAATTAAGAGGTTTAAAGAAATCCTACTGTGTTTATAAGGCAGACTAGAATAAGAGAGTTGGTAAAACTCATTACTAATAAACAATTTACTCAGAGCACATGCCAGGAGAATACGCTCTGTGAATTAAATAGCACATTTTTCCCCTTTGTTTCCTGTGAGAGTGTCCTTCTGAACGCCTCTGTGTGCAGCGCTTGGAGTTTCCAGTATTCTGATCTGCTTCCTTTGAGTCCACCACCCACCATCTGCCCCATGCTTCTGGGCAGCCAGATTGCCTCCTGAAATCTGATCAGCCCCAGTCTCCCTTCAGAAGCCACACTTCTTTTTCAATTAGAAGGACTGTTCCACGGGACTGTGAGTTCTCTATCCTCTCAGTAACACAGTAGCTCCTGTTTGGGAAGGCAGAAGTACACTATGGTGACAAAGAGGCAGGACAGCTCCCTTTCTGTGCTGATTCACGACACTGTAGATGTATCCCAAGTGCAACGGGAAGCCATGTAAGGGTAAGGGTCATATATTTTGTGTTCAGCCTTCACCCAGTGCCTTACACAGTGTACTCAGAAAATATCTACTGAACTGAATTGCTAAAAAAGTGTATCATATCAGGTAACTTGCTTTTCATGGCTTTTCAGCCTCAATTACTAGATTATTTAATTATAGAATAAGTATTTTATCTCTGTATTTAAATATAGGATTATAGTGAAGCAAAGTTCTGCCCCAAGTAACACCTTGCTCTTCTCCTTATATTACTGACTCTTTTTTTTTCCATTTATTTTTATTAGTTGGAGGCTAATTACTTTATAATATTGTAGTGGTTTTTGTCAATATTACTGACTCTTATACCCTACTTGGGGCTGGGTTAGAATGTAGGAATATGTACAAGACAAAGTCAGGAACTGAACTGGATGGATTAAAAAGAAATCTAGTCCTTACTCTGGAGTTTAAAAGAATGAAGCAAGTGATGAAATATTTAAAATGTTAGATTTCTGTTAATATAAAAAATTCTACACTGTCATATCATTAATTTCTTACCATTAGAGATCTAGTCATGGATTCTAGCAAACTGGAAATAGTTAGCAAAATTGAGGCATTTAAAATAAACAAATTGTATCTTTTCAGGGTATTGTTAAAAGCGATCGGTATTTCTTAATGTGGTTCTTTTTTAAACTTGAAATTGTAATAGCGACATTTTCAGAAGAGAAAAAATGCATCCCTAGTTCCACCATCTTGATACTAATTTTTATGTATGCCTCCCAATCTTTGTCCAAATGTATAGGCATTTTTTTTCTTTTTGTCTTTCTTCTGTGCTTTCTATTTTCGTTTCTGAGTTGCCCTGGAAGGACTGTATCTGCCAGATGGGGGCTCAGAATTTCTGAATGGCTCCAAGAATTCTAATCTGTGTTGCTGCAGAAATTAGCCAGGACAGTCTGACATTACAGAGGGCGTTATGTATGTCCTCAAATCTAGAAGGCTTGGGTGAGAGACTGAAGTAGAATGGGACTATGGGCTTTAAGAAAGAGAGCAGCAACCTCATTGTTAGAGAAATGAAGATAAGGTTTTATAAGGAAAGATATAGGTAGATATTTAAGTAAAATAATTTCAGATGCCATGAAGGTCTCTCTTCCCACCCAACCAAAACAATAAACAAAAAAAATAGAAGCCCAACCAAAGTGATCAACTACCACAACAAAAACATCTCTTAACATGAAAATAAATTTTTCTAGTTTTACTATTCAACAAATACTTGAAATTAGTTTAAGAAAGCAAAAAGGTTTAAAACAAAATTTTTAAATACTGTTAAGTTGACCTAAGTCTTCCATGGTACAGCCCCTATGCTCCTTTGAAGGAAAAAAAAGGGGTAGTTAGAAAAATAAAAGATATAGGACAAACTTCATCAACTCTTACCTTTGCCAGGGTCAGGTTTTTTTGGACTATTTAGGCTACAAAAGAAAGGACTGGGAGAGAGAAAGTGAAAGGGCGAAACAAATGTGAAAAGAATCTTGGAGGTTGGGACGCAGGCGCTGGTGAAGTGCCTCGTGGAGCTCTCTGGGGCTCAGGACTCTCACCACGGGTCCGGGGAGTGGATCCGGGCAGGAGAGGGGCCCTGGCTGCCTGCGAGGAGGACGCCCGCCTTCGGTCCCCGGCGCTCGCGGAGGCGTGCGGGGAGCGGGCGTTTCAGCTCACAGGTGGCCGCAGCCGCGCCAGCTGCGCGCCGCGCCCGCTCCGCGGGTGGGCCGCCAGGCGTCGCGCTGGAGCCGCGGTTGCCCGGGAGACCGAGAGGGGCGAGTGGGCGGCGCGGAGCCGAGCCGCAGCCCGGCTGCCGCCCGAGTAGCCGGGCGAGAGTTGGGGGGAGTGGCTGTCCCCAGACGGCGCGAGGGGCCGGCGGGTCCTGGGGCAGTGAGAGGTGGCCGTGGCGCCGCGGGGTGAGGCCGGCGAGCCCGGGACGCACCTGCGCGCAGCTCAGCCTCTGTGAAGCCGGGCGGCGCGGGAGCCGCGCTTGCCTGGTCTGCAAGTCCCACCGTCCCAGCCCCGGCCGGGCGGACTGCGGCCGGGAGGCTAGTCTGTGAGGTTCGGGGTGCCCCAAGAGCGCCGAGAGCCCGGCCCGCGCCTCGGCTGCCGCGACGAGGAGCCGGGCGGGCGGCGGGCGCGCTCCCCGCGGCCCCGGGATGACTTGTCGCGGCTCCCCTCTGGCGCCTTTGCTGCTCTTCTCTCTGCACGGTGAGTGGCCCTGCCATCCTCTCCCCTCCTGGTGGGGCCAGGCGGGGCCGGCGGGCCGGGGAAGGCTGTCTCGCCGGGGCGGGTCTTGGGAACCCAACTTTCTCGGGGGCCATATTCGTGACTGTCGGCGAGGCCCCCGCGCGGCTCAGGCTCAGGTGTTGCGGTCCGAGAGGTGACTGCGCCCCCCGCCGGGTTACGCTGGTCCTGAACCGGACTCGGACCGTGACCGCGCTCTTTGCCCCCCTAGATAACGAACGCCCGTACTCTCTGGGTCCAGGGAGAACGGGTTTTAGAATCGTTTCCGTGACCAGGCGGCTGCAGGAACATTGGAAATGTTTTTAAAATAATTGGAACACTTTAAGTTGCAGTTTTCACCAAATCTTTAAAGAGCATGTGCAGGTTATGACTGAAAACGTGATCTTTATTAAAAAACACACACAAAAAAACTCTACAATACGTATACTAGATTTGAAAACAATTTATTGTTTAATGGTCGAACTTCTTCCCCAAGGAATTTAAGTCGATTTACAAAAATACATAGAACATAGCCATATTAGAACAAAACAAATAAACATGTTTAATTTTATTGTTAACTGTCTTCTAAAAATATCCATTTAAATTTTTATTTCTACTTAATCTTCTTAAATTGTACGTTCTATGACTAGCTGTCGTGTTGAGACCCTGTTTTCATTTTATACAAGTGACTTTTTTTGTGTGTGTGTGTTTCCTGTCCTGTGAAATCAAGTTTTCTGTTCCATTTAATTCATTGTTGAGATTTACTGAGATTTATTCTGAAGGCTTTTATTTAAAAAGGATAACTGGTTTATGGAGTTTTGTGGTTAATACTGTTTCTTTTTGAAGATACTGGTATGTTTCCCATAATTTTATAACCTTATCTGAACTGTTAATGTACCCATAGATCTTGAAGTAACTTAATTTTAGCCGACTTAAATTTGTACAGATTCAGTTTAAGGGCAGGGAGAAATACAAAACTGCATATCTTTTCCATAGGAGTGAGAGAAGGTAATGTTCAAAATTACAGATAACTTTTCAGGACCTCAGTAGGTATATATTTGGTGATGATGTACAAAGTGACATTTGTATGTGCTTTATATGAACATGTATTTCCCAATTAACTTTGTCTGGTCACTACTTGGAGGGGGCCAATATTTTTCTCTGTCCTACTTTCTTTAAGCGTGAATGAGATAGAGTAAGCGAACTTTTAAATAATCCCTCGGACATAACTGAAACTGTTTTAAATATTACTGTGAGAACAGCTGACTTTTTTGGTAAAAAATACATTGTTAGCCTTCATCTATTATAATAAATGCCACCCTCTTCTTGTAAATACCGTTTGTGTATGGTTGCGTTTTGAATTATTAGGCAGTACTTTTTAAAAGAGTTGGTGAAATTTGCAGAATCAGCCTTACAAGGTCATCTGATGTGTTTTTTTTCCTTCAGCAGATCTATTCCTAAACATACTGGGATGTTTTTAAAGATTTCCAAGGACATTTCAGCCTTTGTGATAATCTATTTTGTAGAGGTACTTGTGTGCCTCAAAAAACTGTGATCATTTGTTCAACGAGTGTTTACGTTGAACCTCCACTCTGGGCACTTGGGTGGGGCAGGATGGTGTTGGGAGACAAAGATGCATGAGTTTCTCCACCTTCTGTAAAAGATACCTTGTCCACCTCCTGTAAGGAGTTTGCAGTTTTCAGACAGGCTGCAAGCATGCACAAGTGAGTTATGATACAAGGAATATATGAGTCCCATTTGTTGTTGTTGGTGGTAAAATCAAGGGAGACTTCATGGAAAAGTTTACTTTTGATCTGGACTTTGATAGGGTTTGAATTGGCTGAGATGGGAGTGTTTTGGTTTTCTAAGCCAAAGGAACAGCCTGGCTGTAGGATATTAAGTAGAAAGTGCCTGGGCATATTCTGGAAAGGCCAGGCTATAGCTGCCGGTGCAGGAGATATGTATGCAAAGCAGGAAGGGCTAAAAAGGTAGTAAAAGGATGATAGAGAATGTTGACTGCTGAGTTTAGGTTTTATTCAGTGGGCCATGGACACGACACTGATACTGTTTGCTTAAGATGGGGAGGGGATGAGGATGAACAGCTGCTGAGTGCCCAGCATAACAGTCTCCAGGAGAGTACTAGGTCCTGACTGCATATTAAATTCTTGAACCAGGCAATGGCAGTGTTGGCATGGATGGACTAGCGCCCATTCCTAGAATTTACAGTGTGGAAGGAGGGGGAAAGGTGGACTTCAGGTGCAACAAAGTTGGCTCCATTATAGAAGGGCAAAAAGGAAATGGATGCCAGATAAATAACCTTGATGGCAGTGGCCACTACAATGGGAGAGTAAAGGTAGAAAGAAAATTATTGTCAAGAAATTTCTGTTTTGTTTTTCTTTATTTCATTCTCTGTGGAGTAACTTCAAAGGCAATTTAAATTGAAAAGTTGACTTCTGTTATGTTCTACCAGTGGGTTTAGTTCAGTTCAGTAGCTCAGTCATGTCCGACTTTTTGCGATTCCATGGACTGCAGCACACCAGACCTCCCTGTCTATCACCAACTCCCGGATGCCCTCTAGCCATCCCATCCTCTGTTGTCCCCTTCTCCTCCTGCCCTCAGTCTTTCCCAGAATCAGGGGCTTTTCAGCTAAGTCAGCTCTTCTCATCAGGTGGCCAAAGTATTGGAGTTTCAGCTTCAGCATCAGTCCTTCAAATGAATATTTAGGACTGATCTCCTTTAGGATGGTCTGGTTGGATCTCCTTGCAGTCCAAGGGACTCTCAAGAGTCTTCTCCAGCTCCACAGTTCAAAAGCATCAATTCTTCAGGACTCAGCTGTCTTTATAGACCAGCTCTCACATCCATACATGACTACTGGAAAAACCATAGCTTTGACTAAATGGACCTTTGTTGGCAAAGTAATGTCTCTGCTTTTTAATCTGCTGTCTAGGTTGGTCATAACTTTTCTTCCAGGGAACCAGCGTCTTTTAATTTCATGGCTGCAGTTACCATCTGCAGTGATTTAGGAGCCCCCCAACATAAAGTCAGTCACTGTTTCCACTGTTTCCCTATCTGTTTGCCATGAAGTGATGCGACCATCAAGGCTCTGTATGGATGTAGTAGCTATGTATCCAGTAGTCATGTATGGATGTGAGAGTTGGACTGTAAAGAAAGCTGAGCGCCGAAGAATTGATGCTTTTGAACTGTGGAGCTGGAGAAGACTCTTGAGAGTCCCTTGGACTGCAAGGAGATACAACCAGACCATCCTAAATGAGATCAGTCCTGAATGTTCATTGGAAGGACTGATGTTGAAGCTGAAACTCTTAATACTTTGGCCACCTGATGCGAAGAGCTGACTTATTTGAAAGACCCTGATGCTGGGAGAGATTGAGGGCAGGAGGAGCAGGGGATGACAGAGGATGAGATGGTTGGATGGCATCACCGACTCAATGGACATGAGTTTGGGTAAACTCCAGGAGTTGGTGATGGACAGGGAGGCCTGGCGTACTGCGGTCCATGAGGTCACAAAGAGTCGGACACGACTGAGCCACTGAACTGAACTGATGGGACAAGATGCCATGATCTTAGTTTTCTGAATGTTGACTTTTAAGCCAATTTTTTCACACTCCTCTTTCACTTTCATCAAGAGGCTCTTTAGTTCTTCTCTTTCTGCTTTTAAGTGTGGTGTCATCTGCATATCTGAGGTTATTGATATTTCTCCTGGCAATCTTGATTCCAGCTTGTGCTTCATCCAGTCCAGCATTTCTCATTGTGTACTCTTCATATAAGTTAAACAAGCAGGGTGACAATATACAGTCTTGAAGTACTCCTTTCCCAATTTGGAACCGGACCACCTGACCTGCCTCCTAAGAAATCTGTATGCAGGTCAAGAAGCAACAGTTAGAACTGGACATGGAACAACAGACTGTTTCCAAATTAGGAAAGGAGTACCAGTGGGTTAGGTATATGTAAAGTGGTTTTTTTTTTTTTTTCATTTATTTGTATTAGTTGGAGGCTAATTACTTTATAGTATTGTAGTGAGTTTTGTCATACATTGACATGAATCAGCCATGGATTTACATGTATTCCCCATCCCGATCCCCCCTCCCACCTCCCTCTCTACCCGATCCCTCTGGGTCTTCCCAGTGCACCAGGCCCGAGCACTTGTCTCATGCATCCAACCTGGGCTGGTGATCTGTTTCACCATAGGTAACATACATGTTTCGATGCTGTTCTCTCGAAACATCCCACCCTCGCCTTCTCCCACAGAGTCCAAAAGTCTGTTCTGTACATCTGTGTCTCTTTTTCTGTTTTGCATATGGGGTTATCATTACCATCTTTCTGAATTCCATATATATGTGTTAATATGCTGTAATGTTCTTTATCTTTCTGGCTTACTTCACTCTGTATAATGGGCTCCAGTTTCATCCATCTCATTAGAACTGATTCAAATGAATTCTTTTTAATGGCTGAGTAATATTCCAAAGAAGACATACAGATGGCTAACAAACACATGAAAAGATGCTCAACATCACTCATTATCAGAGAAATGCAAATCAAAACCACAATGAGGTACCATTACACGCCAGTCAGGATGGCTGCTATCCAAAAGTCTACAAGCAATAAATGCTGGAGAGGGTGTGGAGAAAAGGGAACCCTCTTACACTGTTGGTGGGAATGCAAACTAGTACAGCCGCTATGGAGAACAGTGTGGAGATTTCTTAAAAAGCTGGAAATAGAACTGCCATATGACCCAGCAATCCAACTTCTGGGCATACACACCAAGGAAACCAGATCTGAAAGAGACACGTGCACCCCAGTGTTAATCGCAGCACTGTTTATAATAGCCAGGACATGGAAGCAACCTAGATGCCCATCAGCAGACGAATGGATAAGGAAGCTGTGGTACATAAAGTATTTTTTGTATTACTTGTGGTTCCTTAAAATAGCAGGTAACCTTCCAGAATCTGGAGAAAATATATAAAATA